AACACCTTGCCGAGGGCCTGTGCACCCCCGGAATTAGTCGGGGCTCTTAGAGACTCGGACACCCGGTGCAAAATAAAAAAACAAATAATGAGGACTAAGCATAGTTTTAATGCTTTGTGATATTGAACAACAATTTTCAGTGTTAACTTTTAGTCTATGAAACTCGATTCCTGATTTTATGGCCAAATCTTTCAGCTTTACATGATTGATATGTTGATATTCTGATAGATGCTCAAATTACCACATGAAGCTTTGTCCTTTGTAGTGTTATTATCTGTCACCGTATGATTCAAATACGTTTGTTAATGCCTTGAAGTTGTTCAATTGCATGATGCAGCAATGAGAATGACATCACGGAGAGGCTTAAGCGTATTATTCAAGCAAATGCCAGACTTCTCGAAGACATTTCTGATACAAGTTTTCAAAATAAGAGTCTGGTATTTTTTAGTTCACTTCCTGATCTTTTTTGATCGAAGACTTCCTTCTGATTTTGAAAATCAATGATTCAGTGTTATCAATTATCAGCTTTTTGTAGCTTCTTTTTTTGGTTAATTAGATGGAAATCTTAATATACTTTTCATGGACTTTATATTCAATATGTGCTGTATTGCTGTTATGTTATAGTCGAACTCTGCCTACTGGAATGAGAAGTACTAGGCATGTTTTGATATCTATTGCATCTCACCCATCGCCAAAAGATTTTACATTGCATATCGACATTTTAGGAGTCCATTTTTCTTATAAGTGATGTTCAGAAACCTAATATGATTATATCTTCCGTTCCATAAGTGTGGGTGGCTATTTGTGGTTGGTTTTTCTTAAAACAAGTATAGAGTAGAGTGTTAAGAGGAATCTCAATTGGTCTTACTCCTTATTGAAGTTGTTGAGTTATATAAAATCCTCATTAGATAAATAAGAACATCCAAATTATAAAGATTTTGGGCCGCTTCACCCTTTGCATGAATGTTTCATGGATGCTTAGGTCTTTAGTGTGGCATCTGAGACGCACTTTGTTAATTGTGAAGAACATTTACCTTGAGTCTGATTCAGCCTCAAAAACTAGCTCATTTAGTGAAAATTGTACTCGACCACATGAGAATTTCTGCTTCTGCCCAGCTTTTTTTCACCATGCCACTTCCGTTAACTCGTTATCAGGTTCTCAGCGTGTTATTTCTAGCATCAGCTTTTGCCGGCTGTGGAAAAGCACCAGTTGATAACTTTATCTCTAAGTTAGAGATGTAGTTTAAGATATTTATGATGCAATAGCATGCAAATTACAACTGATGGGAATTCTTTCATATATTATGCACTTCAACACTGGTGGGTTAGTACTTTGTACTTGCTGGTTTAGCAGATAAAGTTGTCCTCAGGGGTGAATACTAATACCAGGGTTACATTCTCTCCTACCTAAATTGACCTTTTACTTCCATAATATGAATTTAAGAATTTATCCATTTATACCTGTGGAGAGAGCTGCAACAATAGATTTTAAACCTATGTTAGGTAAATTATTTATCAAATTGTTTTAGAATCATTGAAACGGAAAAGCCTTGTGCTTTTGTTAAATCTTGGTATTTCCGCACACTATTGCCAATTACTGTGTCTTCAAGATTAAATGGCTGGGATAGTGTCGGGTGGATTTCTGAATCTAACTACTGTATAAGCGACTCGACTTGGTTTGTCTGGTAGTTTTGTTAGTTCTGCCAAATCCTAGCACTACTTCACCAAATTATCTCCTTTTCGAAAGATGTACCTGTTTCTTTTTATAGTCTTATTGAACACTATGTCAGTCACCGGAGAGTCTAGATATCAATCCTGCTAAACTGTGTGCCAAGCTTTCTATTCCCTGGTGAACACTACAAAATGATCATGCATTTTTTGACATTGGTTTGACATAGTAACTGAATGTTTAATACGAGCTTTTCCTATGAGAGATATATGTCAGCAAAAGGTGTCTATTTAGGCTGCACTCGAGGCGCGTAACAGGCAGGGTTTTTCCAAACGTTAGAGCTATTTGGACGTTTTGTACCGTGCATGGATAATTGTCAATTTGCTGATGCATTAGGACCAGATATTTTCTGCCTATTCATGCTACTTTCCTGTTTTTTTGGCTTACTTGATGTTACAACTTTGATATAGAATGCTTGGGTTGATCTGCAAATGGAAGTTGCACAGTATATAAACAGTGATGTTCGTGGAGTGCCACTACATTTGCAAGCTAGTAAACCAATGAGTGGTTTCACTCAACGCCTTAAAGGAAAGCAGGGACGATTCCGTGGAAATCTCTCAGGGAAGCGTGTGGAATATACTGGACGAACTGTTATATCTCCTGATCCGAATTTGAAAATTACAGAGGTCTGCCATGAAACTATTGTTTGATCAATATTGGTCGTTTTATTTCACTGTGAAGGTAGAATCACAAATACATATGCAGGTTGCCATTCCAATACTGATGGCTCGAATTTTGACATATCCTGAGCGAGTTTCACAGCACAACATAGAGAAGTTGAGGCAATGTGTTCGTAATGGACCAAATAAATATCCTGGTGCGAAGTTTATCAAGCATCCTGATGGAACTGAGATGTATGAACTATTAAATTTTTTAACCCCTTCCTGTAAAACACATCCATAAATCTTCTAAAGCCTGTCTTAATTGTATAATGCAGATCGTTGATGTTCTCTTCTAGAAAGCGTCATGCTGATGAATTGAAATTTGGTTATATTGTCGATCGGCATCTGGAAGATGGAGATATAGTCCTGTTTAACAGACAGCCAAGTCTTCATAGGATGTCAATCATGTCTCATCGGGTGACTATTATTTGATCAAATGATGTGTGAATGGACGTTTTGTTCATGCGGGCAGTGGATTAATTCTGTTTTTAAATTTTAAATTTTAAATTTTTCGTCAGGCAAGGATAATGCCATGGCGCACATTGAGATTTAATGAATCTGTATGCAATCCTTATAATGCTGATTTTGATGGGGACGAGATGAATATGCATGTGCCACAAACAGAAGAGGCGAGAACAGAGGCTCTTATGTTAATGGGGGTAAGTTTATTCCTTCCGTCCATCTTTACCTGACATATATGAAGAATTGAGTAAAATGGTAGTGTTTTGAGTTAGCTAGACAAGTGTTTGAATTAATAGTAATGTGAAAAAGAGAAGTCCAGTCGAGAAAAGGCCGCATCTTAGTGTTTTGAGGCTAAACATTTGATGTGTTGAGAAAAGTGTCAACCTTTTGTGGTTGGACTAAGACAGAAATATGGCCTATACTATCCAACCGATACAAAGTCTGTTTTGGCTTTTTTATTTTGACTAACATTTCAATTGTATTCAAGCTTTAAGAGAAGTAATTTGCTTGGTATAGTCCTTACAATAAAAAATTTCTTGGTATGGTCCACGGTTTTATTTTATATACATAATGTAGTACAATTTCTGGGAAGAACCAAAAATCTAGATTCAATATGGGATGATGATAAGCCGGGTTGGGTGTTTTCATTGCATTTATGCAGCTTACAACTTGTTTGGATGGTTGTTACCTATTGTATTGTATCGTTCTGTTACTTTAAATACAATGTTTGTTTTGATTGTTACTTAAATTTTATTGTATCGTATCGTTAAATCCGTCGTTACATAACGATGAAAAGTGCCACTTTATGGAATGACGGATTTGGTGTGGTGGCGTCGTTACCTTGCTTTTTTCTCTCATCTTGCCCTTCCTTATTATTA